TATATATTTATATTTATATAAAAAGACTAATAATAGTATGTTATACATTGATAGCAGCAACAGCTTTTCCAGGTTCTGCAGTCATCTGAACAAAATTATAGACATTCAGCATATTCCATTAAAAAGAAAAGAAAAGAAAAGAAAACAAAAAAACAAAGAAAAGAATAATATCCAGAAAACAGCACAGTTCTCTTGCAGTCCAGCACGGGCTCTCAGCTCAGCCTCCAGGCCCTTGGAAAGAGGGTAGTTCTTTTCCACCAGCAGATAGTATGCCGTTTTCACCTTTAAGTATGGAAACGATACTCTCCAATCAGCATTTAGTGTTGCCTGAGTCCACAGTTACACATGTGGAGCTGGAGCCTACTGCATCTGCAAAGCCCACTGTGAACGCAGAGCCTTCTGCTACCCAGCAGGAAGACTCTGCTCAGTCCACAGTTACTATGAACAAGTGGAGCTTTCCCCAATCTGGACTGGTCCCGTTACCCTGCCTGCAGAATTCCTTGAAAAATCTGAATCTCCACCAGCTGAATGAGCTGTTGTAGCTCAGATTCCAGATGCCCCAAGAGAGTTAGATTCTGCTGCAACTCAGCAGGAGTTCCCCAGGAAATTGTATCCAGTGTTGCCTCCAGCCTCTCACAGGCTCAAGACCTACTGTTGTATGAGCTTGATACGTAAGGAATCAGTAAGTGACACAGAGACGCAGCAGAATGGAAGTAAAATAACAAATTTACTCATCAATAAGGGTGGATCGCACATATGCTGTGCCTGGATCGACAATGCACTGGGTTATAACTCCTCCTTTTATAGGGTTTTACAGCCTTGGCTTCATTTGGGTAATTACATTTCATTCTCATAGTTCAAATCACGGTCACAGAATAGTTAATCTTTTCAACCCAGTTGTAACAGTTCTTTGCAGTTGGGGAGTTTACCTTTAAGATTTGCCTAGGTATCTATTGTAGTCCACAGGAAGGGGGATATTCAGGGTCAGGGGAGCAAATGCTAGCAATGGGTTCTTTCATCCAGACACTCTCACGATCACGTGGCTCCAGTCTCTTTGGAGCCCAAGACCTTGCTGTGCCCTGTTATCTCAGGGTCAGACCGAATGCCTCATTCAGCAATTAGTGCCTTTGGTGCCTATTAGTTCTGAGTGAAACAAACTGCTGTTAGAGACAGCAGAAGCCATTTTACATTGTAACACTTTATGGGTTTTTGCTATTTATAAAAGTTTTCCCTAACAAGGTGACAAATTAGGACACAGATCAAGAATCAGCTCAGCCTCCAGCATCACCCAGTGTCATGGCACCACTACTGCATACGAGCCTTACTGTAAGTCCTGAACTCACCACAGAGCCTGTCTATTCTGTGGGTCCACAAGAGGCTATCGTTTCTCTGATAGTGTCACCCTGAGGTGACACTTGCACATCGAGACCTGGGGCAGGCTCAGCAGCCCAACCTGACTCCTGCAATGATTCAGCCTTTGAACCTGGAACATTCCAGAACTTTTCTACCTATTTCAGGGGGCTAACTTTCCCCGACTTTGCAGGAGACCCCATCTCAGCCTCTGGAACCATCTATGGAGGCTGCAGCTCAACCTACAGAACCACGTGCGATGGCAAATCTGGCACCATGAGGTCAGCACTCAGCTCAGGTTCTAGCATCACACAGATTTTTTTTTTTTTAAGTTTGAGGAACATATACTTCAATTAACAATTTTTTTTTTTTTTTCAGCTTTAATTGAGTTTATTGGTACATTTTACGGATACAGTACAGTTACATTCATTGTTGAGATCTTGCACCTCTACATGACAAGTCTTGATTCTCATTTTTTCCCCTTAACTCTGCCCTCCCTTCAACCCACAATTAACAATTTCTATAGGCATAGTCAACCTAGGTGAGAAGCCATGGTGCAGTTGAATTAAAAAAAAAGAGAGAGAGAGAGGCCGGGTGTGGTGACGCACGTCTGTAATCCCAGCACTCGGGAGGCTGAGGCAGGAGGATTGCTGTGAGTTTGAGACCAGCCTGGGCTACCTAGTAAGTTCCAGGTCCGTCTCAACTACATAGTGAGACCCTGTCTCAAAAAGAGAGAGAGACAGACACAGAGAGCCAGTGCAAGTTTTCAAGCAGGAGAGCTAAATGGTTACACAGGAGGACGATGTTAGAATCCATGTGTAGAGTGATCTAGAGGGGACAGCCGGATTCGGAGACCACCTAGAAAGCTGTAGGAGATCTGGGTTAGAGTGAGAGTGGTGGTGATGAGCGTGGAGAGAGAATCCTGTGAGCACTACGTGACTGAGTGATTGAGCGAAGCATCGGGGGGTAGGGTGGACAGAAGCACAAAATCAAACCTGAATTCATAGTTCCTGAACTCGATGAAGATGAGAATGACAGAAAGAGCAGGACATAAGGAAAACCAGTTTGACGGAGAAGAGTTTAGTTCATACAAAGAATGTAGCTTTTCAACCTGAATCCTATAGTTTGATTTACAAATTAAACCGAAGAAACTGCATCCTTTGGAAAAGTTTTGGAGGCAGAAAATCAGGAAAACAATTAAAAAGGTGAAAAAGAAAAACTGCCATCCTTATGCATTCTAGCCTTTCACATCCCTAATTTAAATGACAAATCTTTCCAAAGAGATTGGAAAATGACCAAGCAAAGAAAAAGAGCCTGGCAGATGTTCAGCTTGGAAGAGAAAAGGTTCACACGGTAAAGAAGGTCCGCAAGGGGCCAAAGGGGGCTCAAAAAATCTCTTTAAGGAAGTGAGAAAATAGAAAGTCAAGGCAAAGCAGAGTGCCCAGCCATTCTTGGAGGATATCGTCTAAGAAAGAAGCCCCAAAACACCCATCCCAAGGGGCCGGAGCACCATCCGAGGTATGGAGGCCAAAAGTTGATGGGAAACTGCTCCCACATACAGCCATGGTTCACAAAGGAATAGAAGACAAAAAGCAGTCTCTTCTCCCTGAAACATAACTCATTGGGCAGATCTCCCTCCTCCATCCCTGCCAAAGCCCTGCCTGAGGTGAGAAACAGAGCAAATTACTTTGTCTCTAGTGTACGATGTTGGAAGATGGATATGCTAGGGCCAAAACTATACAATGTACTAAACCAATGTTACATTCCCCTGCAAAAGCATTGCTTTCATAAAACTCATTCTCTTATGGTCCATGGAACACCCAAGGCCAAACTGAGAGAAAAGTTGAGAAAGGAAAATACATGCAGTAGACTAATGCTTGCAAGAAGCCCTCTGTTCTTGGTAGCAAGAAGTCTCATCAGTTCGCCTTCTCAACAGTCCCATCTTCAGGAGACGTTTTTCAGGAGAATCTTGTCTTAGAATTACATGCTCATTCAGAAACTTCAGTAGAAAGTACTCTAGAAAACCATACCACAGCAGATACTTTTGAAGGATGGGTTTTGCAGTAAACACTAGTGTACAAGAAGAAACTGAAACCACAAGAATCCCTCTGTTGCAGACTCTGCTGTGCCTGCATTCAACACAATGGCAGCTGCGAACTAGAACAGGGAGGCACACTGGGGCACCCCAACATAGGCACTGACTCACCCTTCAAAGACTCCACCTCCCCACTGCTGTCATTCCCTGGTGATCAGTTTGAAACTTACCTAAACCAGCAACTCCAGCCATTCTTCCCCAACAATGAATAAGAAGGCTGATTTCCCACATCATCAGGAGTTTAAAACGGACTGCTCTGAGGCCCACGTGCAACTGGCCTTTGCCAAGCTCATCTCCAAAATGGGCCTCCTGATGCAGCTTCTCAGGGAGCAGCAAGAAGTCAAGGTATCCAAGCCCCAGTGAATGCAGACCGCTGGAAAAGTGAGAACCGTGAGAACTATACCAATGAGAGAACAGCAGAGCACAGAAGAGGAGGAGGAGCAGGAGTCAAGTGAGGTGAGGACAACTACCCAACATGAGGGTCTGCCATGAAGCACCCAAGAAGGAAGACGTATCTTGACTTGGCCACATAACTTTGGCCAGGACAGTGATGCCCAGCCCACTCCTTCAGAGAAAAAAGCTGACCTGACGCACAAGATAAACAAAAGAATATGCATGATAAAATTTGTAACCTGTTCCACTTGATATGTTTTTAAGAACCTGCAACCTATCTACTCAGGAATGGGAGTTTTGAATAGTCAGCTTTCATTCTTCTTTTCCCTTTTTAACAAAAATATATATATTTTTTTAAGTTCACAAAAGAAGATACAGGATATAGCTACAACAAGGTCATCTTGGCAATATCTGTGACAGCAGTACTGATGATTTTGATAATTTTCTGTCTCACTGAGGTAAGGACAACAATTAATTCAAATTTCCTGAATGCATCCTGTCTTTGTAATAGATTCAGATGAGATCGGGCGTGTTTAGGGTGGTATGGCCATAGACTTTGTAATAGATTCAGAAGCCATGAAACTGAAAATCCAAGCCACTTTGCCCATTCCTACTGGACATCCTTCCATCAGTAACTGAGACCTAGCTCTTTGCTCTTTTATTGAAATGAGACTTCCAGGATTTTTTAAAAATTAATTTTATTGGTATATTTTAGACATATAATGACATTAATCATTGCAAACTTGTACTTGATTCACCCGAGCAGTGTGGACGTACCGTCGCCCATAGTAACGGGCTAGTTCAACTGGTGGTCTGATCTGTTGAACGGTTTACTGGTACAAATGTAACGGTTTAACGGTTTCCTTCCGGAATGTGTGGGCGGAGCTCTCTAACAGCCGCGCAGCTGGAGAGTGTAAAAGGAGAGGTTCGGTAATAAAGCAGCAGCAGCAAGTACCATGAGAAGAAAGGTGCCTCCCGTCTCTCTGTCCTCGTCCTTTCAGGTTTAGGACCTGCTGGCAGGATCCTGACGTCGCGGCTCGCGACATGTAACTCGCCATTCAGCCCCGATTTCTTCTATTCTTGTAGTTTTTTCTTTCCATCCTAAACAAATGTCAAAAGTACCAACTGTGTCACTGAAGGGCAGGTGTCGCTGGGTCAGCAGTGACTGTGCTTTGGGCATTTACCATTGCGGGCTTTGGTTGAGTGGGAGCCCAGGGCCTGAATGTGGACCACAGTAGGGTGGGAGAGGTATGTGCAGGTCCTAAGGGTGCACATGAGGGCTGGGAACAGGCCAGTGCTTGGATGTGACCTCCACTGAGCTTGGCCACGGGTCCTCTTTCCCTTGATCTCTGGGCAAGGGCGGAGTCCCTATCTCCACAACAGTTGGGAACCCTGTGCCTGTTTCCATTTATACAACTTGCTATTGGGTGTATGGCCTTGTACCAAAGACTTTCGGGATACTTTTACTAAAAACACTGACTCTTCACACGGGCCTGCCGCTGTCCAATGTGAGCGACTAAAAGCAGGGTTACAAACTTGGTACCTCTGCCTTTGAGTCACTCTGTCTGGCAGTTCCCTTGGATTCTAGGGATCACAGGTCTGATCCATGAACATCTCACGAGGAGTGGAAACTACCCACAGGCAACAGCACTTTCCTTATCACTGCTTTAGACAGGGGCACCCTGACCAGTCCTGAGGTGATGACCAGCCAGACCACCTTTGCCTAAGACTGCTTGATTTTGCACACTTCTGTCTCCCTCGTCTCTGTAATCTGGGAGCTCATGTCAACCCTCAAAGACAGGGCTAAAAACACTGGTGCCTTTGTCATCCCAATGAGTTATACACCAGGAACATGCCACCAGATCAAGCCCTCAGTATCCCTCAGTTATTCCACCGAATTGTTGCTTCCACTGAATTTTGAGGCCGTGGGAAGTCCCTGAGAACAATTTCTTGTCTGTTTCTCAGGAGTCCCTGCCTCTTGGTCTCTTACTTTCCAGGCCCCGCTCTCTGAAGCCTGCAGGCTTGTCTGTCTCACACTGCTCTCCACACTTTTGTGAGGCTACTAAAGGCATGGGTCCTAGGGTGGGCTGGTGTAGCACAGGTCAGAGACATGAACAAATGCTCACACGTACTGCACATTTCTAGGAACACTTTCACACCAGGTAGACTCCAGATGGGAAACAAAATCTCCTGTTACTGTGTGACTTGGAAAATAGTAAAAGCACCTGTAAAGTGCTACGGGAGCAGAGGGGAGAACTGGAGAGGTTTCAGGTTCACAGCATCTGTGAACATGTGCAGCATTGTTGAGTTTGGACATACGTGTTGTTTCAGTCCAGCTTCAGTCTTTGATCCTCCAGCCCTCCTACTCCCGCCTCATGCAGCCCGCCACAGCCCTCTGTCTTCTGGGAACAGACCCTTCTTCTGGCTTGACTTTGGGCTGAGCCTCCTTCATACCCTGTGATTCTGTTGGGTTTGGGTTCCTGGTTTCATTCTCCCAGAAAGTGCACACATGACCATGGCTGGCCCATCAGAGCTAATAAGAGGCTTTTCTCTGACCTATTTCCTTCAATGCTGTGTAGAGTGAGAATTACTGCTGCCCATCTTGCAGACATGGGGCCTGGTCCTGCCACCACAGCACCCAGCACAGGGGAAAGTGCAGCTGAGAGGTAGACAGGGACAGGTTGCTGGATGTGGTCAGACCTTATGCTGTAGGGCTGTTTACTGTTAAAGTATGATTTTTAGTTGGGATATAAAGAGTGCTAACAAACCTAAGTTTGAACTTGGACAAATCATCTACTCCTCAGCCTCAGTTTCCTTACCTATTAATTGGAAGAATAAGATCTACTTCCCAGACAGCTGTGAGATTTAAATGAGATAGCACACACATGCATGCACGGGTGCACGCACGCACGCACACGCGCACACAGTGTATAATTGCTATTAGTGATATAATTAGCATTAGTGGAGGACACAAGATTTATGTGCTCTGTACACATGTACTCAGAGTCCCCCAGTCTTGATGGACTCTTTATTATGGCTGTGACTAGATGTCCCCCCAAGGTCTCATGGGTCACAGGTGGGGCTTTTGTAGAAGTGGCTGGATCTAAAGTGTGTGATGCTGGAATTGATTCATGGTGAAATACTACGCTCAAGGGCCCTAGGATTGAGTGTGAGCGCTACCTGCCCTAAGCAGTCTGGATAAAAGGGGCAGAAAGACACTATTAAGGTCCCTTGTTGCATTTGCTGTCTTCTGCTTGCTAAGAACTTCTCCGCTGCGATGCCCCTCTGCCAAGGCACCCTGCCTTACAGCCAATGATGAACCAAAACCCTACAAACTGAGCTAAATGAACCCTGCTTCCTTTAACTCTGGGTGTCAGGTATTTTGGATCAGCAATGAGTAAACTAACACAAAATTCGGTAGTAGTGAAGTGGGATTGTTCCTGTGACCATACCTGACCATGTGGTTCAGGAGCTTTGGGGACTGGCTTGTGGGAAGAGTTTGGGAAGATTCAGAGATGTTCCAAAAGTAGAGCTGAAATGCCTTAGGCTGTACTTGATGGGAGATTCTGGTCGGAGCTCAGGAGACCTGAAGGCTGATAAAATGCTGCCAGTAAAGACCAGGCTTGGGGGGTCTCTGCTGGGAAGAGGGACTGCATTGGCTGCTGGATCCCAGATGATTTGTGTAATGGCTTGGTAGAAAGTTTGCCTGCATGTTGCTCCTGTCCAGAGTCTGCCAGAGGCTGAGGTTAAGGGTGGTGAACTGGTTAATCTGCACAAGAAAATTTCAAGGCAAATGTTGAAGCAGTGACATGGCTGCTGTTGGGGGCTTTTGGCCAGATTGAGAATCAAGAGCAAAGAGCCCAGCAGAATGATTTAAAACATTTTGAGTTTGGTCAGAAAAGAAATGAGCTCCAGCAAAGCTGTGGGACTGCTAAATAAAGCTGAAAAGATCTTGATTGCTGAGAAGGAACAGGGGAATAGAAAGGATGACAAGAAGCAGCAGGACTCCACGCTTTGAGACAGGGTCCCATGGCACCATGTTCCAGAATGGTGTGGCTTAGGAAGTTGTTCCTAAGGATTTGGTTCACAGCCACTTGAGAGAAGGAAACCTGGCTTCCTCCTGGTCTACCTTGCTGTCAGCCATGTGGTGCTGGTTTTAGGTACACATAGAGTACAAGAGTCGTGGGGTCAGGAAGGTTTCCACTCCCAATTTGAGGAGCAGCCCTGGGAGGTGAACAGGTGAACACTGGGTATCTTTCTTTACTCCATTTATCCAACCAGTAACACCCATCTCTCCATATTCTTCCCTGTGTGCTGCTGAGTTCTAATAATGAGCAAAGTCAGAATGAAAGAAAGCCGTAACTGCCTACCTCACTCACCATTGCATTTATAATATCCAGAACGGTGCTTTGGATATAGTATTGCTCAAAGAAAGCATGTCGAATGACTTGGTAAGTAAAACAAAAATAAGACACAGGGAAGGTATGCACATTTCACAAACTGTGCAAAGTTGGGACTCACCACTGTGAAGCGAGGCTACTGTGGAATTCCTGTCATTAAACCAAGCTGTCAATAAGGCTGAAATCCAATTCAGACAGTTATACTTTAACAGGAGGAACACATGAAAGGAACTGCATTAAGGGAAATGCATTTAGTTTTTTTTTTTTTCTTTTTGCATTTAGTTTTCAAAGGACAAAGACCACAGTAGCAAAGGCAGAGTGGGTCCTCTTGAGGCCCTTGAAAATTGCTGTCATGCCTGGGAGTGTGTCTCAGTGGTAGAGCTCTTGCCTCGTGTGTGAGAGAACGTGGTCTTGAACTCACTGAAACAACACTTTTACTTTACGTTTTTAAAATCCCATGAAGTAGGGCTAGGGATTTAGCTCAGAGGTTCCACTGCCTGCCTCTCAAGAATGTGAAAGCCTAGTATACCACTTGTAATCTATTATAAATTTTGTACACATGGTAGAATTCATTTATAATGAATTAAGTGATTATTTTCTAGCCAAAAAATAACCCTTACCAGTTGTAATTTTTTAATTTAGTTTTTAATTTCCAAGACTCTTGACTCTTTGTAGTAACATAGGACCAGTGTGCCAGTCCCACAGCCTCCTGGAGCTGTTACTTCCTGGGAACCATTTGCCGATCTGAGGAGTGGCCTCGTGCAGACTCGGCTGTCCTGTCACCTCTGGGGCTCTGCCCTGAGCCTGATATGTGGGGGGCTTTAGCATCACTGCAGACAACCTCATGTGGAGGCCTAGGGACATTCCCGACAAGCCCCACAACCTCAGCAGGTGGTGTCAACCAGAGCTATAGCAACCTGCAGGACATTTGAAAGGGCCCAGCATCCTTGTCATGTGCAGTAGTCTGGCAGACAAAGCCATCTGCTCCTGCCCGAGACTGACAGTAGGGACAGGACCGTGCATCCCAGTGTGTCCTGTGCCCGGGATGACAGGCGTGCAGGTGGAGGCTCTTCCTGTAGTAACATATTTTAAAACCAAACATGGCTGTTTGTC